ACGAGAACAAAAGGCAGCTCAACGCACTCGAACAAACTCGAGTTCGTTGCTCAGTTATTGTTCTTCAAGAGTCGGAATCCTTGGCTTGTTAACTGGGTATTATGCGAGATAATTTACGTGCCATTGTTGGGCGCCATTTACTGACCGATTGAAAGTCGGGCAGAAAATATGAAAACAGCCGAAACGTGATGGCCTAAATGCTCTTGAAGTTGTGAAGGGAAGAGGGGGAGTTCTGATCGCAATCGCCAATCGCTGATCTTGAAAGTGCACTCAAAGAGTGCATATATAAGAACAAAAAATAAATTTGTAAATGGTCTATAAAGTTTATTTCCTCCTCTAGTTATAAAAAGGAAATCAATTAATCAATTACTATCCATTAAACAAATGACTATTACTATTTTTTTGAAATATAAATTTATGTTTGATGATTATTACAAAGGATCCTATAGATCTCAAGTCTAAAAGGGGATCTTTGAACGTATTTTTTCCTGTGCAGCTGTCGATCGGCTGGGCATTCAATAACTTCACGACTTGGCGACCCAGTTGTGTCTCCGATGTGGCGATGTGTATCTATATCGGGCAAAAACTATATAGCAGATACTTGGACCGGCTAATTGTCGTTTGCACAGACCCCATAAATCATGACAACTCGCTGAGGATGTTGGCTTCGCCTTGAGTGAAAAACGAAGCTATCAAAGCGGTAAATCATTTCCACCAGCATCTGCACTCTGCAGTCGCTGTTTTGTGGCCAAGAACCGTCGCAAAATGTATCTGTATCCGAAACTCTGGGCTGCCACAAGCCGCTGCAATTGCAACTGCAACTATTTGAGGGCCGTGCAATTGCAATTGCCGCTTGGCTGAAAAGAGGTCAATTAGCTGCGAGGAGTTGCCCAGAGACAAAGGATTTCGCAATTCCGCTCGCTAAACGATTGTTTTTTCTGTGATTTTTTTCTGTTTGTGGACCAGCTTCCACATTCCATAAAGATTCGTTTTCAAACGCTTGCGCAATCGGCTGTATCTCTTGTTTCGGGCAATTACATGAGCAGCCAATGCGGCGTATACGTTACGCAGCTCACGGATTTCGAGCTGTGGTCAAACTTCTCTGACTGACGCACCCAAGATGCTTAAGAATCGGTTTTTTATGTGATACATTAGATCATAATTCAGTTAAGTTGGCAGTCGTGGTTCAATGTCAAGCTGAAAGGCCTGAAAGATTTATTTATTTCTTCAATGCTGAAATGTGTAATTGTATTCATCGGCTCAGGGGAATACCCTAACGAAGCAGAAAATACTGGTTTATGGCAGGGTGTTGTATTGAATGCTGTACGATTTTAGTTTTGGTTCAATTTACACTAACGAAATACTAAAAAAAATATAAATAAAATTTTATTTAATTTTTGTTCCTATTTATTTTATTTAGTTAACAAATTTCAAGATAATTTAGTTACCATAAGACAGTCAGTGTGCCAACCAATAAATATTAATATTTTTAAATGGGAACAAAGTAGTTTACAAATTAACAGATCGCATGTTAAGAAAAGACAATAGAAACCTCAAACTGATGGAGACCTAAGAAAAATTATATGTAAAAGCTACTGAAAGTGTATTCCAATATATACATAAATCTAAAAGCAATAATTTTCGTTATCTTGACAAATTGGCCTCTTAAGTGGCAGGCCTCATGAGAGTATTCTTACATTTAAATACATACATTAGCATATTTCGTGTATTTGGAGAACTTCAGCTAATTTTTGAACATCACGACAGGCGAATTGAATTTCCAATGCAAATCAAAATTCCTCGCTGGCTTAATACCAAATAATTATTGATATGGGCTCATCGAGAGGTTTTTGAACTCTTATTTTTTGATTTTGCTTTCGGTTTTCTGTTGGCCTTTCTAGACTCATTAATCTTTTGGCCATTTTTGGGAAAAGGTTGTGGGCACGTGTTTGTCTTTCTGCGGCTTTTGTTGTCGCCAAAATGTCACGAGGTAAAAGACTATAACTTTGTTCTCAAACTCCTATAATTCTTTCCTTTTAATGCGCTTTCTGATTTGCGTCAGTGTTTTCTTCTACTCAATATTTCACTTTATGTTCTGAGGTCACCGGCATTCCAATTTCAAAAACAAAGTCAAGCAGCGCAGCCAGAAAAGAGAAATAATATTCAAACTGGATTTCTTGTTTCGTTTTATGGTAGAATATTTATTCAACTAGAAGATGCGCAATGAACTAGGTTCTATAGATACATATACATATAGAAATCACAATCTGTATATATACCTCAATATGAGGGGCGGATTGATAAAGTCTCAGATTCGATTTTGCTCGGGTAGAACTCATATGTTTATGATGCGAAATGTTTAAATGCCAAAAGGTGCATGGGAAACACAATTAGCATTTTAATAACAGCCAGAACAGATTTTGTTGAAATCAGCTTTTTTGTTGTAAAACATATGCAAAAATCACATGATGAGCTTGCGAATTGATGTTATGAAGAAACAGCAGAGATAAATTTTGTATGCTAATGTTCTTCTCTCTCATTATAAATTCTTTTATGATTTGTATTATTAGTAACGAAAAACTAGATTTGTTTGGATTTCCAAAATAAACGTTAACCAAAAACATTTTTCTTTTCTTTGAAACCATAAATCGTATTGATTTTTAACATTGCACATTATTATGTTTTATGGCTATTAGTTGAGGTAGTTATAAATTACAAATGCTTGGGGAAACGACATGTTAGGGAACCTTTAAGAAAATAAAAAATAAGAAATAAAAATAAACAACATTTTAGACAGCTCTTTGGTCTAATAAAAATCATTTTAATTTATATTTATGTTCAATCTATTGTGCACGCTAATCACTGCTTAGATTAGCAGTTGCTGTTCCCTGCCTAACACCTCTTTATAACCCACGCAACCCTTGAAATCCCACACAATTTCCACCTACATCGCCCACATTAAGACCACATTAAGGAAAAAGCTTGGTTCAAAGCAATCTGGGCAAGAGCAATTGTTAGTATTTGCAAATCAATTGACACAGCCTCTCGACGATGTCCATCACAGAGACTGAACGACCGAGAGGCTCCGACCCTGACACGGATTTACCACAATGGGAGGCCACTTGGTGAAGTGCCTCAAAGGGGCCAAGTACTCACCTCTCTTATCACGGTCATTTCCTCCTCCGATATGGGCCATAATATTGCTGTCACTCGCATTCCCGCTGATGTGATTGTTTTGGCTGAGATGGAAGCCGTGTGGAATATTACTGATGGAGCTAACCACCGGTGTTTTGGTAACGGGTGTGTTGTGGCCGGAATCGACACTGGCCAACGATATGAGCACTACAATGATCGTGGGGCGTAACATTATCACCGATTTGTACTTTTCACGCCGAGTCTTAGACACCAGTAAAAGTTGCAAGTGCACTTTAGGGAGATCTCTTTTAAATGCACGAAACCGAAAACCGGGGAAAGCAAGTCGGTTATGGTATGGTATGGTATAACCTCCGATCTCGAGCTGTAACTAAAAGCCAACTGACCGATGTTGGTCTTTCAGAGGGTTCGTCTACCCAGATCTCTAGCTTATTTGGTATGCAGCTTCGCTTTCTAAATTATCAAATAATATCGGGGAAATGTTTTGTATCTCTCGGATCTAGTTTTAATATTCAAATACTTTTGGTTTTCACCGCCCAACTGTAAACGGTCGACGGGGCGGGCTTGGTCTTTAAGTCGGAGCCATTAATTTGCGCCTTCGATATGGACTTTAAGAGCCAGGGTTCGATGCCTGGTCGTGAAGGCGAACGCGGATTAAGTAATCACCCGGCTAGATCTCCACTCAATTCACTTTCTTTCCGCTTTCGCAGAGAGACAGGGAGATGGGCTTGGATGGAGAGAATTGGAGTGGTTTTTCGGGGTCTCTGGGGCCTCTCGCTTTTTTTATGGTCTGTCGTTAACCGATCTCAAAAGTTGCTCGCATTCGGGGCCGATCCGCCGAAGAGTTAACATCAGGCTGAGGTACCGCAATGCGATATTCACGATCTATACGATTTTCTCGACTCTTTCCTGCGATCGCACTCGCCGGGTTAACTTACAGACTAAAGCGTTTGAACGCAACTAAAACGAGTTCCTCGCTCGACTCCTCTCCGAACCGTCGATCGGTCAGCTGGCCCGATCCGCCAGCTCTCTCCATATATAATGTATCCGCGAAGTCTCTCGACTTGTTTGAGTTGACCAGACCAGACGGCCAGCCACAAAAATGCCGCTGCATCCAACGCCTTCTTCCGCGGCTCCTTCCCTCGGTCTCCCCTGAAGATTTCTGGCGGAGATGGGTCTCATGATTTTTAATTACAGGTGTGTAATAGACGAAGATGGTCGGAACGGATCGGCATTACTGTTCTGCATCGCGAATCGGCTTTGTCAGCTATTTTTAGCACCTCAGCGGCCTTGACTGGGCAGTTAAAAACCCTTTAAGGGGGCTATATCATTTTGCGAAACAGTTTACAATGTATGAAAGCCTTAAGATATTTCCAATACAGTAATTTTATACAATCAAATTAAATTTTATATCCTATACTGATCGTACTTAATGACAAATTTAGGTGAATATTGCGTTTCTTGAATAATTTTATAGAGCTCAAAATTCAAAGCTGCTTTTTAAATTAAAGATAACAGAAACCATAAAGCTGTCAAATATTATAATGCATACTTTAAGCCATTTCAAGATTTCTTAAGATTTCTTTTTAGCTCAATAGGGGGTATAAACTGGTTAAAGTTTGCAAAGCAGAAGAGCAAAATTTTAAAAACAGACGAATAAATGGAAGTATGATAGGGTATATTCATTTTTGTGCAGGGTATTTAAAGCTTCGCAAAGGCAAAAGTCTGGTTTTTTAAATAACCAAGGGTCTGGGTAACTTAATCCCTTACAGGGAGCTTACTCTGACAGGTCAGCAAATCTTCACATGCGGTTTTGACACCCTTGAAAGTAAAAGGACGCCACAATCTTAAATTTTAACTTTTAATTGTTGATTTTACTGAATCCAAATCATACATTTAAGTAACTCTAGTCGAAATTATTAGTATTCGTGCGTCTAACTAAACGGGTTGGTACGAGAGGGTAATTGCCAAAACCAAATTTCAAAGACAGCTGCTGTGAATTTTATGGAGTGTAAAGCCAGTGGATGGGTTCCGAAAAGGTGTGCATCATGTCCGGTTGAAGGTTTAGGTTTCGCCTTAGGATAGTGCTGGGGCTACTACTTCTTCTTGCCCTTGCCCTTCTTGCCTTTGCCCTTGCCCTTCTTCTTCTTCTTTCCCTTCTTACCACCTGCCAGCATTTCCTCGGAAACATAGGTCTCGGTGGTGACCTTACTGATCGGAAGGGTCACGGGTTGCTTGGGGGTCCTGAGCTCTATCTCGATGGTGTTCTTCTTGTGCTGCGACTTGGCCTTGCTGCCCAGTTTCACCAGGAACACGTCGCTATCGGTCTCCTCGCAGGTCTTGTAACAGACCTAAATGGAAGCAATTAGAAGTTTTTATTAATATATATTCTAATATTGTTAGCTAATCTTTAATTATTATTATTTAAGCAATTAAAACCATTATGCGAATCACCTAATAAATTCAGTCATCCAACAAAATCACCTAATTGGCACATATGTGCTCAACAGTTTCCTTTAATCTAATACATCTCCCCGGCGATTACCATAAATAAAACCGATGGAAAGCTGCAGCGGATTTGCCACCGCAAAACGAAAAAGGTGCTCCACATTTGGAGCTGGCAGATGTTACGCAACAAAATGCACCACAATTGAGGCAATTGAATGCCTTCCCGAAGTTGCACCACCTGCAACTTCGGCATTTAGAGGGGCCAAGTCACGGACTGAAAAGCGATCACACATTCCGCATTCGAACACGTAACAAGCGATCCCAAAAAAAAGGAATGCGGAGGCGATCAGTGATTATAGTACACCGATTTAGATTAAACATTCTTGAAATATGGATTTTACGTGAGCCAATTACTACCTTGACACATTTTGGTGCGGTAAGATAAAAGTCATGAAATGATACACCAATAATAACAATTCAATTTTAAAAGTAAAAAAGGATTGAGTTGCCCTTCCCTAAGAACTAAAGCGTACTTCTTCGATAAACAAATTTTTACAAGGGACTTCTTGATAAAGATTTGAAGATAGTATATATTACCATATCAATAAACTCACCTCGATGCCCTTGCGCCTCGTGTCCAGATTGACGCCCTTCATGGTCTGCATGATGTCCTTGCGCTCCACCTGCATGCAGCAGGATCGCTGGTTCTGGGCGGGACACTGGGCGGGGACAATGCGATCGGATCCGCCGCACAGCCGCTGGCGGTAGCAGTCGACCTTGGCCTCCTGGGCGTCGCAGGCCTCCTTGATCTTCGAGAACGGCACGTAGTAGTTGTCCGTCTCGCAGGCGTCGTTTCCCGAGTACTTGATGTTGGCCCGCACCTTGGGGATGTTCGGGTGGTTGATGATCCTGCCCCCGGTTCTGCGCTTGATGTGGTTCCTGGCGAAGGAGCTGCGCTGCAGCATCTCGTGCAGGCAGGACTCCTGCTTGGGCTCGCAGTCGTTGGGATCCTCCCGGTAGCAGGGGTCATCGTCGGCCCCCAGATTGGGCGCCGTTTCACTGCCGTCCAGGACGCTCTCCACCTTGTGGGTGTTCTTGAGGACTCGGATGGTCAAACCACTGCCATTGAGACAGGCCTCGAACTCGTCGTAGGCCTCCGGTCCAGGATCCGGCCTGGTCGGCTGGATGAAGCAAGGAGCCAGCTCCGGACTGCAGTCGCAGTCGCAGGCGCATTGACAACAGCCATCGCAGTCATCAATATCTAGTATTGACAGAAACAACAAAAATATTTTAAAACAAAATATAAAGTATTATAAAAATATTGAAATCGATTATTAAACCAATACTAAATTATACCTTAATATAGATGGCATGTTATCGATGCACTTACTCTCGTTCATGGGCTTGAGCATCTCATTGGTGATCTTGAACTTGCAGTCGACCTTCGGCTTTTTGCCCTTCTTGCCCTTCCTTCCCCTTTTCTTGGCCATGTTGTGCGGTTCTGTGGTCGAGTGTCTTTAAATCAATGTAACTATTCACTAAGTACGTCTGCAGGTGTTGTCTGCTTAAGGAGCGCTGCTCAAATCTCGATTCCAAAGGCCTTCAATTCTCAATTTGGATATTGTACTTCACCAGTAAGTGGCGCAATTTCCGCACAGCTCGTTTTCGCGCTGCAATAAAAAGGAGAGGCCGCGTTATTAGATCACCTCGAAGATGATTTGGTTAATTGGATTAACGCGTACTGTTCTTGTTTTAGTTTCCATCCAAAACTCGCGTTACTTTTACGAAAGAATTTATTTTTGTATATTTTGTGCGGCAGACAACATTTCCCGATTGAATATATAAAACGAATGCAAACCGAGTAATGATCTTTTACCCCCCGTCTACTTGGTGTTACTAAAAGTAAGGTGAGTTTCTGGATAAATGTGTTGTTTATTTCAGGGCCTACTTGTCATCTCAGAAATTAAAAAAATCAAAATATTGAGAAATATAAAGAGTGTCAACGATTTGTGTTTTCCGGAAGATCTAAGTGATCTATATTAAGAATTTTGAATTTTGAATTTGGATACTTCCTAATAATATAAATTATTTGTATTCTTCATTTTTTTTAAAATAAGAAATCTTTCAATAAGTCCTTGATTTTAAATAGTTTGGAACTCACCTTCATCGCAGGCCATATCGTACTCCTGCTCCCTACCGTGGCATGCAGAACCACTGGGCTCCTTGTACCTCATTTTCCGGGTCGCCTGGAGGACACCTTCGCAGGCAGGATCGCATTCCTCGTACGCGTCGGCGGGACCGTTATGATCCCCTACGCAGTAGACGGCTCCTCCCGACTGCCGCTTCTTCTTGCCCTTGGCGTCTTTACCATCCTTTGCCTTCTTGTCCTTTTTACCATCCTTGTCCTTCTTGGCATCCTTGTCCTTGTCCGGCTTGCCCAGAAGTTCAGCCTCCAGTTTCTCCTGGATGAAACGGGGATACGGCGGGATTCCCCCGCAAGGACCGCATTTCTGCAGCTTTTGCTCGATGGGCGACATGTTACAGCGCTTCGTGGGAACAGTGGGACATTCTGGGGAAATGGGGATTACTTTTTATATTTCATCTCGATTTTCGTATAATATAAGTTAAGAAGGAAGGTTTTTAAACATGCTTTTGATTTAAAGACTACAAATACTACCATAAAATGTAAGGGTGTATACTCACCCCTGTCGAACTCGTCCTCGCAGTAATCGCAGGGACACAGCTTGTCCAGGTTGCAGGAGTAGTACCTGAGGCACTTGGCCGGCGGTTCGTACCGCTTGGCACAGGGATCCACCATTTTACACTCACGACAGGGGGGCTGGGCGCACGGGCCCTTGCAGCCCTTCTTCTCCATGGGTCCCCCGGTGGCGGTTCCTCCGCCGCAGCAGGGGCTGCAGGGATCGCACGGATCACAGGGATCACACGGACCACAGGGACCGCAGGGAGGCGGACATGGTGGCCCACAGCCGGGAGGAGGGGGACACGACCCGCAGCAGGGAGGCGGAGGGCAGGGTCCACAGGGTCCGCAGCAGGGCTCCGGGCACTTGGGATTGCGGGAGCAGACTTTGCTGAAGGGAAAGGTGGACACTATGGCCGGACCATTGCAGACCAACCGGAGGATCAGCACTATATTGCCGGTCTGCATCTTGCAGAGATTGAAGAGGGGCAGCAGCCGCTTGGACAACTCCGAGGTGGGGCACCACTGCTCGTGGCGTTCGTTCAACTTCTCGTAGCAGGCACAGTTGTCCAGGAGACCCTTGCTGTTGGGCCCCTTCATCTTGGGCAACTGGGCGATGTGGCCCAGCATGGCCCCCTCCCAGTTGGGATTCTCCGCGTCGAAGGACTCCTTGACCCTGTCGAAGATCGGCTTCACCTTCAGCTCCGACAGTCCTATCAGGAACTTGCAGCTCTCCGTGCGTTTTTTGTAGACGTGCACCTGCAGCACATCCTTGTCCGTGATCGGCGAGTCCAGGGTGAACAGGGCGCACTTCCCGCACTTGGGCGAGCAGGGGTTAACACAGGTGCCCACCTCCCGATCGCAGAGATTCACGTACACCGACGACCGGAACGTGATCTCCGTGCAAGTGGGATACTCCTCCGGAGCACAGAGGTTCTGGCGCGTGATCAGCAGGTCGTCCACCACGAACTCGAACATGTACAGGAAGTTTCCTGCTATTTTTAAGGGTTTCTCGGGCTTCTCATTTTTGTCGGACTTATCAGACTTGTCCATTATTCCCGGGAAGAGGTAACCTTAACTCGAGCACTGATGCCAAACGTGAATTTTTGCTACACTTCGTTGTATATTTTTGGAAAAACTTGTAATTTTTGTACCCGAACACACGCACTTCCTAAAATTTAGAGAATAAATTTGAAATTTTGATTTGGATTTTGAACGGGTGTCCAGACGGGGAGACTGATGTGTTCGAACTGGTGATACGAATTTGTTGTAAAAGACTACTAGGACTAGGAATTTCCATAACTAGTTATTTGGAATACCTGGGTTCTTTGTTTTTTATTATTTAGCTTACGTACATATTAGTTTTTACACATCTTCATCTAACATTTACATTATAATATAGTTAAAACGCATATTTATACTTTAGCTACATGCCATAACATGCGTACCTATGAAATCTTTATTTGTGAATGTAACATAATTTACCAAATGCCTAACACTTTTTCGGAGTTAACCTAATGGATCTAAGTACCTCAGAACGATTTAAACCATACGTATATGATATATGAACGCAATACTTCCTAATATTTTTTAAAGAACCATTGTGACTAAATTGCAGATAGCTAATACAAGTAAATACCCCCATAGCCTTAAAACACCAGGATTGATGTAGAAAATTACAAAGTATTTATTTATTTCTATAAAATGTAATGTGATTGGTACTTGGTCACATATCATAGTTAATCAGCGGGTTCCTTGACGAATATTAAATATATCTCAAGATTACTGGATGAAAACGGAATGTAAAATCCTTGCTGATGCTCCTGTCTACGCTTTCCTGGTCTTGATGGACTTGCAAGGATCGCAGGGATCGAATGGCGAGGGACACGGAGCAGGCCATACTGCAGGGGAAGGACAACAGCCAGGGCAGCAGGGGTTCTTGCACTTGGGACTCTGGACGGGGAAGGAGGAGACCACGGAGGGACCGTTGCACACGAGTCTCAGGATCAGGACTATGTTGCCGGTCTGCATCTTGCAGAGGTTGAAGAGGGGCAGCATCCGCTTGGTCAGCTCCGATGTGGGACACCATTGCTCGCGGCGCTCCCGGTGCTTCTCGTAGCAGGTGACACAGTCGTTGGTCTTCTTGCAGGGACCCCTGATCCTGGGCAATCGCGAAACGTGCGTCATCACATTGTCCTCCCAGTTTATGTTCTGAAGGTCGAACTCCCTCTTCACCCTGTCGAAGATCGGCTTCATCGGCAGCTCCGCCAGTCCGAGCAGGAACTTGCAGCTCTCGGTGCGCTTTTTATAGACGTGAATGTGCATCACATCTTCGTCCGTAATCGGCGAATCCAGCGTGAACAGGGTGCACTTTCCGCACTTTGGGGAACAGGGGGTGACACATTTGCCATCCTCCCGATCGCGGATGTTTAGGAAAATCGACCGGAAGGTGATCTCCGTGCAGGTGGGATACTCCTCCGGGGCACAGAGATTCGGCCGCGTAATCAAGAGATCGTCCACCACAAACTCCAACATGTACAGGAAGTTATCTGCAAGTCGTGAGGGTTTCTCCGCTTTGTCCATTTTATCTTAAAAGCCTTAAAAACTAGATGGACAACACTACAATATCTACACCAAATGGAAAATATTATTTGTTTTTGTTATTTTTATGTTAAAAGTGAATTTTGAAATCTTCGGGTAATTTTGTAAAATTTTGTTGAAATTTTTTTCGGATTTTGATGGTGTGCCAAAAAATAAAGACTGGGGTGTTTGAAATGATATGAATGAATGCCCGAAGCCTGCCTGTATCTTTTAAAGTTTGATTTTTCAAAATTCCCAGTGGCTTTCAGAATGAGAATCCAAAACTGCGCGACTAATTTCTATATCTTGAGTTGTTTGATCCCGATTTAGACGTGGGATATCCCTTTGAGTTTATGAATGAATTCTGTAACGTTCTACATTAACAGTTTTCTTTTAAATGAAGGTCAACAATTTAGCCCATTTTCATGTTCGATTTCTTCGTAATTCCATAGGTTCTCAGTATGGGAACCCAAAACTGCACTTCTTGATTCTATAACTTGGGTTATTGGATCTAGATTTACACGTGGGATACCTCTCTAAATTGGTGGTTAAATTCTCTAATATTCTACATATAAATATATCTCATAATCGAGGGTCAAAAATTTAGCCCATTTTCATGTTCGATTTCTCCGTAATTCCATAGGTTGTAAGTATGGGAACCCAAAATTGCACTTCTTGATTCTATAACTTGGGTTATTGGATCTCAATTTTCACGTGGGATACCTCTCTGAATTGGTGGTTAAATTCTCTAATATTCTACATTAAAATGTACCTCTTAAACGAGGGTCAAAAATTTAGCCCATTTTCATATTCGATTTCTCCGTAATTCCATAGGTTCTCAGTATGGGAACCCAAAACTGCACTTCTTGATTCTATAACTTGGGTTATTGGATCTCGATTTACACGTGGGATACCTCTCTGAATTGGTGGTTAAATTCTCTAATATTCTACATATAAATATATCTCATAATCGAGGGTCAAAAATTTAGCCCATTTTCATGTTCGATTTCTCCGTAATTCCATAGGTTCTCAGTATGGGAACCCAAAACTGCACTTCTTGATTCTATAACTTGGGTTATTGGATCTCGATTTACACGTGGGATACCTCTCTGAATTGGTGGTTAAATTCTCTAATATTCTACATTTAAATATATCTCATAATCGAGAGTCAAAAATTTAGCCCATTTCATGTTCGATTTCACCGTAATTCCATAGGTTCTCAGTATGGGAACCCAAAACTGCACTTCTTGATTCTATAACTTGGGTTATTGGATCTCGATTTTCACGTGGGATACCTCTCTGAATTGGTGGTTAAATTCTCTAATATTGTACATTAAAATGTACCTCTTAAACGAGGGTCAAAAATTTAGCCCATTTTCATGTTCGATTTCTCCGTAATTCCATAGGTTCTCAGTATGGGAACCCAAAACTGCACTTCTTGATTCTATAACTTGGGTTATTGGATACCGATTACCACGTGTGATACCTCTATGAATTTGTTGTTAAATTCTCTAAACTTCTACATTAAAATGTATCTCTTAAACGAGGGTCAAAAATTTAGTCCATTTCCATGTTCGATTTCTCCGTAATTCCATAGGTTCTCAGTATGGGAACCCAAAACTGCACTTCTAGATTCTATAACTTGGGTTATTGGATACCGATTAACACGTGTGATACCTCTATGAATTTGTTGTTAAATTCTCTAAAATTCTACATTAAAATGTATCTCTTAAACGAGGGTCAAAAATGTAGCCCATTTTCATGTTCGATTTCTTCGTAATTCCATAGGTTCTCAGTATGGGAACCCAAAATTGAACTTCTTGATTCTATAACTTGGGTTATTGGATCTCGATTTTCACGTAGGATACCTCTCTGAATTGGTGGTTAAATTCTCTAATATTGTACATTAAAATGTACCTCTTAAACGAGGGTCAAAAATTTAGCCCATTTTCATGTTCGATTTCTCCGTAATTCCATAGGTTCTCAGTATGGGAACCCAAAACTGCACTTCTTGATTCTATAACTTGGGTTATTGGATACCGATTAACACGTGTGATACCTCTATGAATTTGTTGTTAAATTCTCTAAACTTCTACATTAAAATGTATCTCTTAAACGAGGGTCAAAAATTTAGTCCATTTCCATGTTCGATTTCTCCGTAATTCCATAGGTTCTCAGTATGGGAACCCAAAACTGCACTTCTAGATTCTATAACTTGGGTTATTGGATACCGATTACCACGTGTGATACCTCTATGAATTTGTTGTTAAATTCTCTAAACTTCTACATTAAAATGTATCTCTTAAACGAGGGTCAAAAATTTAGCCCATTTTCATGTTCGATTTCTCCGTAATTCCATAGGTTCTCAGTATGGGAACCCAAAACTGCACTTCTTGATTCTATAACTTGGGTTATTGGATACCGATTTACACGTGGGATACCTCTCTGAATTGGTGGTTAAATTCTCTAATATTCTACATTAAAATGTATCTCTTAAACGAGGGTCAAAAATTTAGCCCATTTTCATGTTCGATTTCTCCGTAGTTCCATAGGTTCTCAGTATGGGAACCCAAAACTGCACTTCTTGATTCTATAACTTGGGTTATTGGATCTCGATTTACACGTGTGATACCTCTCTGAATTGGTGGTTAAATTCTCTAATATTCTACATTAAAATGTATCTCTTTAACGAGGGTCAAAAATTTAGCCCATTTTCATGTTCGATTTCTTCGTAATTCCATAGGTTCTCAGTATGGGAACCCAAAACTGCACTTCTAGATTCTATAACTTGGGTTATTGGATACCGATTACCACGTGTGATACCTCTATGAATTTGTTGTTAAATTCTCTAAACTTCTACATTAAAATGTATCTCTTAAACGAGGGTCAAAAATTTAGCCCATTTTCATGTTCGATTTCTTCGTAATTCCATAGGTTCTCAGTATGGGAACCCAAAACTGCACTTCTTGATTCTATAACTTGGGTTATTGGATCTAGATTTACACGTGGGATACCTCTCTAAATTGGTGGTTAAATTCTCTAATATTCTACATATAAATATATCTCATAATCGAGAGTCAAAAATTTAGCCCATTTTCATGTTCGATTTCTTCGTAATTCCATAGGTTCTCAGTATGGGAACCCAAAATTGCACTTCTTGATTCTATAACTTGGGTTATTGGATCTCGATTTTCACGTGGGATACCTCTCTGAATTGGTGGTTAAATTCTCTAATATTCTACATTAAAATGTACCTCTTAAACGAGGGTCAAAAATTTAGTCCATTTCCATGTTCGATTTCTCCGTAATTCCATAGGTTCTCAGTATGGGAACCCAAAACTGCACTTCTAGATTCTATAACTTGGGTTATTGGCTACCGATTAACACGTGGGATACCTCTCTGAATTGGTGGTTAAATTCTCTAATATTCTACATTAAAATGTATCTCTTAAAAGAGGGTCAAAAATTTAGCCCATTTTCATGTTCGATTTCTCCGTAGTTCCATAGGTTCTCAGTATGGGAACCCAAAACTGCACTTCTTGATTCTATAACTTGGGTTATTGGATCTCGATTTACACGTGTGATACCTCTCTGAATTGGTGGTTAAATTCTCTAATATTCTACATTAAAATGTATCTCTTTAACGAGGGTCAAAAATTTAGCCCATTTTCATGTTCGATTTCTTCGTAATTCCATAGGTTCTCAGTATGGGATCCCAAAACTGCACTTCTTGATTCTATAACTTGGGTTATTGTGTCTTGATTTACACGTGGGATACCTCTCTGAATTGGTGGTTAAATTCTCTAATATTCTACATTAAAATGTATCTCTTAAACGAGGGTCAAAAATTTAGCCCATTTTCATGTTCGATTTCTCCGTAGTTCCATAGGTTCTCAGTATGGGAACCCAAAACTGCACTTCTAAATTCTATAACTTGGGTTATTGGATACCGATTAGCACGTGGGATACCTCTATGATTTTGTTGTTGAATTCTCTAATATTCTACATTAAAATGTATCTCTTTAACGAGGGTCAAAAATTTAGCCCATTTTCATGTTCGATTTCTCCGTAGTTCCCTAGGTTCTCAGTATGGGAACCCAAATCTGCACTTCTTGATTCTATAACTTGGGTTATTGTGTCTCGATTTTCACGTGGGATACCTCTATGAATTTGTGGTTGAATTCTCTAATATTCTACATTAAAATATATCTCATAATCGAGGGTCAAAAATTTAGACCATTTTCATGTTAGATTTTTACATAATTCTAAAGGTTTTCAGTATGGGAACCCAAAACTGCACTTCTTGATTCTTTTTTTTTTAAGTTCAAATTTTAAACACATTTTCATGGTTATGTACATATTCTATAAAGTTCTGCATTCCTTAGAAATATTATTTCAAACTTTTATAACAAACACGTTCAATCGATTATTCGAATCGCTTAACCTTTGCAAGATACGATCATCTTTGTGTTGGCCGTCTTTTGTGCATGCGATAAACACGATATACCCGTATCACAAGCAAGACAAACGTTCTGGGCTTGCAATGCAGTTCACCTCTACAAGTAATTAAAAGACTTCGATCGAGGTTTTCTAGCAATGCGTTAAATACTTTATTTAATGTCATAAATGTTTCTACAAAAGTGATTGATCTACATTGCATTTAATCGCAGTTAATTAGCGGCGCCTAACAACTCCAATCCCTTCTATCCGAAAACCCATCCATTTCCGTTTCAAGCCGCCTGAAGCTCGCCTAAGTATTGTGTAATAATAACTAACATGTTGCAGAAAGGAATGGACTTTGGGCTTTACAACTAAACAAGAACACAATAAAACAAACAGAAATTGAGAGGAGTTGAAATCGATTACAGGAATTGGTTTACAAGATATTTCCTTGGAGCAATGTGACTGTTTTAAGCTGCAGAGGTAGGTCCCAGTGACTCTGCTAGACGACACTAACGTCATGGGTCTCGAAAGGAGATTGGCGGAAAAAGCCGCGGCCACTGCACGAACTCGATGCCGTAGTGCAGGATTCCCGTGGCACTGACGGCAATCATGGCTCCCCAGAAGAGCATGAACAGCAGGTTCTCCGTGTTGAACTCGGCCGGGTAGGTCATCGTGATCATGAACATGGCCACGGCCATCAGCAGAACCGAGGGGAAGGTGAAGAACCGCCAGCCACGCTTCGATTCCAGCGGCGATGGCACTGCACCGCCCTCGTTGTCGTTGATCAGATACTTGCCAAGGAACAAGTCGATGCTATCCTGCCGCTGGCCATCGGCAAAGTTGTTCAGATAGTAGCGCATCAGCGAGTTCTTGCCGTCCTGCAGAGCACCAGCCTTTGTCCTCTTGCCCGTCCTGGTGAAGTCCGTCTTGAGCGCACACGTGCCGGAGTATTGCAGCGACACCAGGTCCGCATTGTCCGCCCAGACGCCCTTGAAAGTGCTCTCGAAGATTGCAGAGGCCTGTTCCACTCGCTGGCCAACATGCAGCACTCCCAGCTTCTGGAGCACCGCCGTTAGGGATCTCCGGGCCAGCATGCTCTGCACCACATTCGTCCTGTCTAGACAATCAATGCAATTGGTTCGGAAGACGCCTGTCTGCGTGGACACAAGCTTGCCATCGTCGAAGACATGATAGACACCGAACTGGTCCTGCTCGTGAGCCAACCGATCGATGAGTATGTTCAGCCGGTCCCAGCGCATCTTGCGGCACTCGCTATGGAAGTCGAAGGACTCATAGCGCACTCTCTGGTTGCCCATTTCTCGAACAAGACGGGCATAAGTCGCCTCCAGCTCACCCTCGGCGCCCTTGTGATCCACCAGATTCACAGCCACATTGTCGCCATACAGCTTGATTTGTTCGTTGAAGTGGAGGGTGCAGGCGGCCAGGTGATCCTTGCCCGGCACCAAAACGGGTCGCGGCTTGTACCGCAGGTTAGGCAGCTGGTGCCAGTGGAAGGGCATGCTGCCGCGCGTCTGCACGAATCCCGTGAGCTGGCCATTGAACTCTACGATCTGCTCGGTCTCCACAAAGTTGGCCACATGACCCTGCTCGTCGCTGCCGCGGCAGAAGAGTCGAGTGCCCGCACGCTGCACAGAACGCCTGGTGATGATGCTCCAAAAGAAGGTCTGCCCGTTGATCTGCACCTGGTTTATGGACACGAAGCCCAGGACGAGGGGCAGTTGAAACTTCTCCATCTTGTCGCAGTTGAACTGCCGCAGCACATAGCCGTTCCAAACGAATCGCTGCTCAGCCCGCTGCAGCAACCCAGGCTGTTCTGGCCGTGATTGGGCCGCCACCTCCCGCTGCCGCTGGAGCGAGTTGGTGAGGTCGTAGCGGTAGGAGAAGTAAAAGTACTTGGTGTCCAATGTCTGGCGGAGGAGGCGCAAGTAGGTCTCGTTCTCCTTGCGCTGGATGGCATTGGGAATGTAGGGTATGATGTCATAGCCGGCTAATCTCCACACGACGGCACCATTGAGCACGCCCACGAAGAGGCGGTGGGTGGCCACTAGAAGGTAATCGCAGCTCAGCAAGTGGATGGTGCCCAGCACCCCGCAAATCCTCCTGGTGGGCCGCAGGTTGGCCAGATGACCTCCGCCCGCTGGCTGAACCCGGGTGACCTTGTCGTGGCGCCCGATTATCAGTACCTCCGGCCCTCCGTTCGGCTCGATGATGAAGCTCTCCGGCGTGATGTACAGGTTCATATCATCGTACACCGCCTTCTCCTCCAACCCCATGCTCTCCATGATTTCCGGGCGCGGTGGTTGGCCCAAGTCGAAGGCTGGGGGTTAAAGTTAAGATAAGGGTTAATTATATTCGCTGCACCTGTGCTGCGAATTCTTATTTCGCTCCAAGGGGATTCCTCACTTTCTGTAATCGGGGTTTCCCTATCGCTGTCACACACGCACAGCACCAAAATCAGCCACAGAAACAGCAGGTCTACACGGATTTTATTGATTTAACACACAATTTGGCGTTTCATTGGTGTTTTTTGGCCAACTTCTTTGACACTACGTGTGTGATAGGGATGGGTTAAATAGCGATATAGCGATGTGCTTGTGTGTGATACTTTGAGGTGTTCACACTGACTCACGTGCATCTGGTATTGCACTTTCGCAGGAACACCAATCTAACCAGGAGGGCATTTTTTTTTGTTTAGGGCAGCATAGTTTGGCCCACAAAACTTGAATTTTGTAACTGAATTAGGTTTTTACTTGACATTTCTCTCAAAGAAGGACTGACAATCGAATTTAAATACTAGATTTTGCTGGTATATTTTAGAGTCAAAAATTTTTCTAAGCAGTAATCGATATACTATCGCTATCCAAAAATTTTGGCGGGAATCCATCCCTAGATCACCAAACAATAACAGAAAAGGATCAACAATGAGCGGACAAACAAAATTGTTTGGCGACAAGGCCTTTGACCTGCTAAAGGAACTGGAGAGATCATCGCAGACCATTCCCGCCTTCGACGACGACGGGGTGCGTCAGGTTCTGGAGGAGATCAAGGCGATATTCGAGGAGAACGTGGCCCAGGCCTCCAGCTACAATGCTTCCGGTGATCGGAGCCTGTGGCCGCTGCTCAACTTTAGGCATGCGGCTCTCCAGCGGAACAAGAGGTGCCTGCTGGCCTATTTGTATGAACGGTGCAAGAGGATCAAGGCCCTGCGGTGGGAGTTCGGACCCATCATTCCTGGGGACATCAAGCAGTCGCTCTGCGAACCGGAGGTGCACTTCTTCAACAACTACTCCAAGTCCCTGGCTGCCTACATGTGCAGTGCTGGCTACAACCAGGGATTGCCCATCGATCTCACTAACAACCTGCGTCCTCCGAAATCCCTGTACATAGAGGTGCGCTGCATGGAGGATTACGGAAAGTTCGAGCTGGATGACGGCGAGGTGATCCACCTGAAAAAGAACAGCCAGCACTATCTGCCTAGGGCTCAGGTGGAGTCCCTTGTGAGGCAGGGCATTCTGCACCACATAGCATAAAGTAAACTAGTTAATGTTATTTACTAAATATAAATAAATCCGGAATGATTTTTTTGAAATGTTAAAAATACATAATAATTATACAAAATATTTATTTTATTTACATTAGGGGTGTTTTAAATGACAATTAGAACTTTTGCAACACTGCAAGTTACTTTTTAGTATATTTTCAAACGCATAGTTGGTATTTTAAGCGTGACGCGCTGCGGTCACACCATTTGCGCATTATTTTAAAATCGAACGGACAATTTTAGACGCTGCTTTTCGCTGTTCTCATTGGAATTTGTGCGAAAATTAGTGTTCCCCCAGCGTCCCCCTGTAAATAGTAGTTACAAATTATCAGCATTTGGTTCGGTGGACAGTGGAAAGCAAGGATTTCCAGGAATCGCACACACGGGCACGCATACTAGTGCAAAGGCCTGGCGTCACTTTTTGGGCTGTACGCGCTAAAAGTTTAATTAATTGATTTAAGTGATCGAAATGGACATATCTGGTGGGAATACGTCGCGCCAGCCGCAAAAGAAGTCGAACCAAAACATCCAGGTGTATGTGCGCGTCAGGTGAGTTGATATATTCCTCGGGGATCCAATGGAATTCTAGATCTAAATGTGATTTCTCATTCTTCGCAGGCCCCTCAATTCCCGGGAACGCTGCATCCGATCCGCCGAGGTCGTGGATGTGGTGGCCCCCCGGGAAATAGTCACCCGTCACACTCTGGACTCCAAGCTCACCAAGAAGTTCACCTTTGACCGCAGCTTCGGCCCCGAGTCCAAGCAGTGCGATGTCTACTCCGTCGTGGTGTCTCCGCTGATCGAAGAGGTCCTGAATGGCTATAACTGCACTGTGTTCGCCTACGGACAAACGGGAACGGGCAAAACCCACACCATGGTGGGAAACGAGTGCGCCGAACTGAAATCCTCCTGGGAAGATGTGAGTTTACGATTGAAATAAGAGAAGACTCAGACTCAATTAAACTATCGGCAAACCATGAATTTAAGGTTCTACATCATCTCCTCCTCCTTATCTTCTGTTTTAAAACAACAAAAAAGGGCTCTCACAATATTTTAGCCATCTGGCTCAAGGCCAGGCCATCAAAACCTGTTTTCCTCTACCAAGAATCACTAATCTAACCTTTTCCAATTTGTTTCCCCGCTTAGGACTCTGACATTGGCATCATACCGCGAGCTCTGAGTCACCTTTTCGATGAGCTGCGCATGATGGAGGTGGAGTACACGATGCGCATTTCCTACCTGGAGCTGTACAACGAGGAGCTGTGCGATCTGCTGTCTACCGATGACACCACCAAGATACGCATTTTCGATGACAGCACTAAGAAGGGATCGGTTATCATCCAGGGACTGGAGGAGATTCCCGTCCACAGCAAGGATGATGTGTACAAGCTGCTGGAGAAAGGAAAAGAGCGCCGCAAGACGGCCACTACGCTGATGAATGCCCAGTCCTCTCGATCGCACACTGTGTTCTCCATAGTGGTGCACATCAGAGAGAATGGCATCGAAGGAGAGGATATGCTGAAGATCGGAAAGCTGAATCTGGTCGATCTGGCGGGCAGTGAAAATGTTTCCAAGGCGGGAAACGAAAAGGGAATTCGCGTTCGGGAGACAGTTAACATTAATCAGAGTCTCTTGACGCTCGGAAGAGTAATTACCGCGTTAGTGGACCGTGCTCCTCACGTTCCCTACCGAGAATCGAAGCTTACTAGGCTGCTCCAGGAGTCTCTGGGCGGCAGAACCAAGACCTCTATCATAGCCACCATATCACCGGGCCACAAGGACATCGAGGAGACCCTCAGCACTTTAGAGTACGCGCATCGAGCCAAGAACATTCAAAACAAACCCGAAGTCAATCAAAAACTGACCAAGAAGACGGTGCTCAAGGAATACACCGAGGAGATCGACAAGCTTAAAAGAGATCTCATGGCGGCCAGGGACAAGAACGGAATCTATTTGGCCGAGGAAACCTACGGCGAGATAACCTTGAAGTTGGAATCACAAAACCGTGAACTTAACGAGAAGATGTTGCTGCTCAAGGCCTTGAAAGATGAACTCCAGAACAAGGAGAAGATCTTTAGCGAGGTGAGCATGAGTCTTGTGGAGAAAACACAGGAGCTGAAGAAGACCGAGGAGAACCTTATGAACACGAAGGGTACGCTGCTTCTGACCAAAAAAGTGCTGACCAAGACCAAGCGGCGCTACAAGGAGAAAAAGGAGCTGGTGGCCTCGCACATGAAGACGGAGCAGGTGCTGACCACACAGGCGCAGGAAATCCTCGCCGCTGCTGATCTGGCCACCGATGACACCCATCAGCTACATGGAACTATCGAAAGAAGACGTGAAATGGACGAAAAGATCCGCAGATCCTGTGATCAGTTTAAAGACCGCATGCAAGACAACTTGGAGATGATCGGTGGCAGTCTGAATTTGTTTTTGGAGCAGCAGGCAGCTTCCAAGGAGCACTTAAGCCAGGAGATGGGTAAGCTACCTACAAACATTTCCCTTTCTCTCTTCCTTCTTATTTACCACTTATTCTTTTTAGTCAACTCCAGCAATGTGAGCCAACGCCTAGCAACCAATGCCAGCAAGAGCATTGAAATGCTTAAGGAAAGGTGCACCCAGTCACTGGAGGATCAGGCCCAGCTCCAAAATAAGTTGATGACTGAGGTCTTGAAGATCAGCGATCAGCACTGTCAAAAGTTTATCGCCCAGCTGATGACGCAGTTACAGCAGCGACAGCTTTTGATGAGCAACGAAATCGAGTGTAATCTGCAGCTGATTGAGGAGAACAATCAGCGACATAAGTATATGCTGGACACCATGCAGGAGAAGTTCTCCAACATCATTTTAAAGAGTTCAGAGCTCTTAGAAAAGCATGTGCGGGAAGTGCACCACCACCTTGAACAACTCAGCGGGATGAGTTTGCCGGATGCGGAGGAACTGGAGCAACTGAAAGAGGAACTGTCCAACGAACGGGCTCTGGCCCAGCAAGAGGAAACTCTTTTCGAGTCCATGATGATGCAGATGGAGCAGATCAAGAACTTGCGTGCAAAAAATAGCATTAGCATGTCCATCCGCCTCAACAAGATGGAGGAAAGTCGTCTTACCAGGAATCAGCGCATCGATAATACCAAGTCTGACGTCCAAAACTACCAGAAGCTGGGGATGGAAATTTCTGAATTCGCACAACAAGTGCTCAACTCCGCAACAGAATCGGGAATGGAATGTCTGGACAAAAGCGTTGCCAACTGCTCCATGCTGCAGGTGCACATGAAGAATCTCAACCAGGAATATGCGAAGCAAACAGAAGAAAATGTAATTTCAAGTCGCCTTCACCACCAGCATGTGGAATCCATCTGCCAGGAGAACAAAAATCAGCTTGAAGCGCTGCAGGAGAAAAGCCAAGGTAATCTGGACCAGATTGTGATCGAGAGGCAGCAGCTCATCACTGAGGACAGGCAACGGTTCATAGGACATTCCACTGTGGCCACCGATCTAGTGCAGGAGTTAAACAAGCAGTCTACCGAGCATGCTGCGCTCCAGCGGCAGCAGCTGCAGATTTCCGAGCAGGAGCTTGTGCGCTTCCAGCAGACGGAGTTGAAAACATATGCGCCCACAGGAACCACTCCCTCGAAAAGGGACTTTGTCTATCCACGCACATTGGTGGCCACGTCGCCGCACCAGGAGATCGTGAAGCGCTATCGCCAGGAGCAGGACTGGTCGGATCTCGACACCACGGCCACCATAGACGAGGTAGTTAAAGATGTTTGTATGTATACTGGAAACCCCTAATACTTGTTTCTACATTCTATAGGGTAGCGAGGGTGAGCACGACGACTCACTGCAATCCGTACAGGAGCTTTCCGAAACGGAAACCATAATGAACTCCACGCCCATTGAGCCCGTGGATGGGGTTACCATAAAGCGTGGTTGTGGCACCACCCGAAATTCCAATTCGAATGCCCTGAAGCCACCCGTAACTACTGGTGGAAAACGCAGTAGCTCCCTGTCCCGCTCCCTTACGCCCAGTAAATCCTCTCCTCGAGGTTCCCCCGCCTTTAACAGGGTAAGTCAACTGCAAGTCCGCTAATGACTAAACAAATAAATCCTCCGACAAAATATCATTGCCTTTATTTTCCATATTTTTAGCACAACAAAGAAAACTTGGCCTGATTGAATTCGATGACAAAAGTACTCTACCCAGTAACCCGTTTATGTTTGTTTGGCTCTTCTGGATATTCTTTTTAATCTTTATATAAATCTTTGGAATTTCGTACATTTATTATTTAAATAAACTTAGTATGCTATGTAAAGTTAACGAAACCTTGAGGCTTCAGTTCGTGTGCAGGTTCAAGGTTGAGGATTCACTTTGAGTTCGATATCAAAATTTCAAGATTCCTTAAATATATTTTGCGACTACATTTAATGAAAGAAACAACTGATTACGAGCATCTAAATCAATAACTTTAATTTAATACGATATTACCTTTCTATTACTTTGGAGAATTCAAATTCGTTAAAGTTTCGATTTTATTACATGTATTTAAGTTAAATAACCGTACGCCTAAGTTTATTAACTTTTATAGTGATAAGTTTTCATTAATTTATCCTTCCCAAAATGTAAAGAACAAAAGAGTTTTATATCTGTTAATAACCTAACTATCTATTAATCTTCGTCGTGCTCGTCGTCATCATCTTTAAGAATACCCAGACGACGGGCAACCTCCTTAACGTTGGCAATAAACTCCTCCTGCACAAGGTTAAAACTCATGGCCAGTAAGGCAATGCCGAAGAGCAGATATAGCGAGCAATAGGCAATGGACTGCTCCGATTCATCCTTGACTCCCTTAGCGGGGACAAAGTCACCAAATCCTGCAGGGAAACGTGACATCAGAAACAATGTCAAATGAAGTTATGAGCACACTCACCAATTGTGGTCAAAGTGATAAAGCAAAAGTAGGCGGAATCCAAGAAAGACCAGTTCTCCCAGTAGGCAAACAGAGCAGCGCCGCCGAGGATATAGCTAACCACCAAAAAGACGCATAGCCAAATGGGCACGGGGCGATCTTTG